TTTTTTTTTTGTAATTCACAACTGCAATATCGTGAACGTAATCTTCCACAAACACGGCTTTGACTCATATAGTGCAAGAAATTTCCGCCAAAATACTTTTTACCTAAAAAAATTTGCTAATTTCACCACAAACGACACCAGCATGCTGGTACAATCACACCACAGAACATACGCGGTCAATCGACTTGATGGGTCATTTAGCAAATTTAGAATATTAAGGGCCGTAAACTTATCTATTTTAAACTATAGTTATATCGTTAACAGATAAGTTAATAGCCCCAACACTTTTACAGTATGTATGTATAAAAGCGTAAGGAACATACAATACATATATGTATATATATTAGCCTTTCTTAGTTTAAAAATGCATCTCTTACATAAATGCAAAAAAAAATTAAGCATATACAACTTTTTCATGCCAAGTATGAATAAATTCTAAAAAGGGCGAAAAAACTAGGGCCAATTTTAAATTTATGTGGCCAAAAAAAGTATGTGGTAGATAAATCTAGCCACCAAAGGGCTAAAACGGCAACACTGCTAATATCAACGCACGCTGTTTGGTCCACCAATACATACGCGAACGCGAACTATATGGACTGGTTTTATGCTTCTCGTTCGCGTAGGAGAATCAGTAGAGAATATTTGATACGTTCACCTTCGCGTTCGCGTTCGCGTTCGCGTACGAAGGTGAGTGAATATTTCCGAACCCTGGTGCTAAGTATTGCGAATTCATTGATAAAGCTATCCTAGAGACGAAAGGACTTGTTCTTCCTGATTATATTATAACCTAAACTTATCTATTTTTAATAAAATTAGCTGGGGAAAGACTCTATATAAAAATTAGCCACTAATGCGTTAAAATATGATCATCTGTGCGTTAAGTCGAAGTCGTAAATGGGTAAAATTATTCATAATTTCCATAATAATAAAATCAAATTAACTTAACATAAGACATTACAAAAAAATGGGTCACCAATGGGCATGCTCGATAATGGGTTAAGACGTCAAAACTTTACTCTTAAAAAGTAGTTCAAGCGAGTGGAATTGAAAAAAATGATTTCAGCACCCGCTTATATGGGGCTGCCCCAGTGTGATAGCCTTAACTGTCAAAATAACATAAACGAAATTTTTTCAAAATTTTCTTTTTGATGCAGAAAGGCATCTAGATGCTCTAGGAATATTTCCGCAACAAAAAGAATATTTTGAAAAAATGTCACTTATCTACGTTATTTTCGCGGTTAGGGCTCGATATGTATGTTTGCACAGTTCTACACATAAAAAAGTTTGGTAATTTTTTGTTGAATTTGGTAACTTTTTCCGGTGATTTTGGTAAAAAATAAAAAGATGTTGTGGCAACACTGGATATAACCATCCTGATAAAATATATATTAGAGTTTTCTGCTTCCTAAAAGTTAAATTTTTTTGACCTGTGTAATCTAGTCTAAGCTTAAGTTTAGTGCATCTTTTCTCCTCTGAAAGAGAGAGTCTGGTCAGTAATTAAGTAATGTATCTAGTTTTTTTTTGGTAATTTTTTCCACATAATAATATAAAATATTTGTACTTACATCAACTGGACATCGTTGCTTATGTTCCGAGGAACAGATTCCAAATTTAAATGTATACATCGAACAGTACGATCGAAGCAATTACAATCCTTTGGGCAAAAGCTGCGTGTTATTCTTAATGTAGTCACGCAACAGATGCAGACCAAAAATAATATAAATAAATACGTCTGCCCCATTCTAAAACCCGGTTATAAGTAATATATATAATAATATTATCTTATGTTTCAAAGCTAGCACGAAGAAAACAATTAACAATGAAATAGGAGTCGACCGACGCTTAAGACGCTCTTAATTAAACTGTTAAACTCAATATAACTACATATATATGTATTTATGTAAATGGTATTCATACATACATGAGTGAATAGTTCACTCAATTCACATACAAATGTACATACTTTCATATGCACAAAAAAAGTGTACATATGTACAATATAAACCGAAGGTTCCGCCTGGCTTCGGTATTCGGCTTATTTTTTATCTTCGCCTTCGGCCTTCCGCCGAAAATGCCGAACAATTTGGCAATTCACAAGGTGTTTTATTTGTCGTGAAGTTACATCATTTCACGACAGTTGTTACTCCAATCGATCCAAGATTCAAAGGAAAATATTTTATAGCAAATGAATTGGAACAATGTAAAAGAACAATTTTTCAAATTTTGCGTAATACTTTCGATTCTAATGATAATGAAGACACTTTTGATAAACAAATTGATAAAATGATGATAAACTTGCAAATGATTTTACATGCAAAGCGAAAACTAAAACTACTGGTGAAGTCGAAATAAACGAATATTTAGATCATCCACTTGTTTTCCGTAGTATCAATATATTCCATTATTGGCATTCTTCGGATTTTTTTAATTTAAAAAAGGTTGCGAAAAAGTATTTAACTGCGCCACCGACGAATGTGGCTAGCGAGCAATCATTTAGTTCAGCTGGTCAGCTGTACACCGATAGACGATCAAATCTCTTAGAGAAAACGCTTTTTTGGCATATAAATCATAAAATTCTGTTCCTGTTTCACGTGAAAAATCTGTAAAATTACATAAAAAAATTTCTTTCTGTGAAATAAGTGTGAAATTCCACAACAATTCCTCAGCAAAGTAGCATTCTGTTCACGCTGTGAAAAGCTTGCAACATGTTGGCAACACGAAGCTAGCAACACAATTTTCATAGCAATTTACATTTTAAATTTTGTGAAAGTTTATAGAATCCAGTAGCGGCGAACACTAAGGGGGGTTAGGGCAGTGATCGGACTTCTACCACATTGTGGTAGATCTGCCACTTTTTTGAGCACCTACCACATCTACCACTCAAGGTCTGAAATCTACCACATATTTGCGTTTTTGAGTAGTTTTGTTTTTGCTTGATATAATTTTCTTTATNTGGTAGATCTGCCACTTTTTTGAGCACCTACCACATCTACCACTCAAGGTGTGAAATCTACCACATATTTGCGTTTTTGAGTAGTTTTTTTTTTGCTTGATATAATTTTCTTTATTTTTAGAGCAAAAATTGTCCAACACTAAACACTATATGGTAACAAGAATGATATAATACAAGATTCCGCATTCCCGGCGACGATGAAATTTCTCAAGTAAAAGTAAACAAAGCCGAATGGGAGGATAAAATAAACTGTAAAATAGTAAATTTTCTCAGTAATCAATTTTTTGACAGGAAACGCGGTTTTATTGTGTTAAGTTGCAAAATATATGATTTATAAAAAGAATTAATGGCGAAAATATTAAAAAACGACGATTTTTGTGAAAGTATTAGCAAATTTAAGTGCATCTAAGGTTTCTGAGGCGTTGTTTACTTTTATTTGAGAATTGTCAAAATTGTCCCAATTAGCTGTTTCTGTAAGGTGCCACATTTGTTCGCTACTTCGTGATGTGATAAAAAGAAAAGCTGGCAGCACTTCTTAAGGTTGCTGAAATCTCTTAAAATATATTCGAAAAATATCTTAATATGAAAGGAACTGCTTTACACTGTCAAGGAAAAAAATTGCCAAAACTCAACGCAATTTTTAGCAACTTCAACCTTGCACTTTATTATACTAAAATACATTTTTTTTAGATTCTAATTAAAAAGTTTACCATTTACGTGAAACCTCGCAGAATTTTTGTACAAAATTTGATCCAAACCCAGAGACCCACAACATTTTTTTGACATCTACAACATTTTTTTCCAGATTCTACCACACAGAATTTTTTTAAAGTCCGATCACTATATTAGGGATTAAACCTTACCCAAACCGATCGTAAAACTGTATTTCACGTACGAGAAAATTGCGAATGATTATTTATTATCATATGACTGGTTCGAACACTCCAAGAGAATGGCTCGTTTTTAATAGTTTGATAAATATTATAGTAACTGAAGTAATGTTTGTACATAACGGTATACGCAACAAATATGATTGCAAAGGAATAAAGATTTAAAACTTTTCATAAACTAACAATTAGCGACTGCTGTGGTGTAGTGCTAAGCAGTGCGCGCTACCATTCCGCAGGGCCTGTGTTCAAGCGCAGTTTCCGAGCAACATAAAAAAATAAATAAAATAAACAAAAATGTTATTTTCTAATAGCGGTCGAACCTCGGAAGGAAAAAGCAAAACCTCCGAGTGTATTTCTGCCATGAAAAACAGCTTCTCATAAAAATGCAATCGCCGTTAGGAGTCGGCGTAAACTGTAGGTCCCTCCCCTTTGTGTGACAACATCAAGGCGCACGCCACGAATCGGAGGAGAAGCTCGGCCAAACACTAACATATTGTGTGTAGATCGAAAAAGTATGTTTGACGCGTGTGCCTAGCATATGTTCAATTCCTAGCTTGTGTTTTAGTACTAAATCCCCGTTTTTTCCTAGAAAAAAACTAAGGAAAAAGTATGACTTCTAAGAAAGATGTAAAGGACCGTATTGAATTATTTGTGGACGAAGGTAGAGGCGATTCCTTATTGTTGTCATATTAAGTTTCTTATTCAGTAAAACCATACTCTGTTATATTAGCTAGGCTTTGCTCTCTGTGGAGCTGCATTGATGTTGCGAATAATTTTCTTATTGAAGTAAATGAAATGCGCGAGCACCCTGGACAATTGTTTAGTTCCATTTTTTTACATTGAAATTAGATATCGTAATTGACCAAAAAAAATTTAGTTCATTCTCTCAACTTTCCATAATGTAGAGCAGCTAAGAAATATTATCGAACAAGATATATAAAAAACACCCTACAAAATCTTCTACAACAGGCGCCCCTGATCTACACAAATCAGTTTGGTTGGAAATCTGTTTTTGTTACGAAATAAAAATCACAGACATATTATTTTTGAAACGTAAAACTGTATTTTAATGTTCGGCTTCGGCTTCAGTGTTCGGTCCAATATTGAATAAGACCTAATATTCGGCTTCAGCAAAAATTCCAGCTTCGGTCGGACACTACTATACATCCTACTATACATATGTTCATGTGTTATTGCTTTCAATTCTATGCACGACAGTTTGATAAAAAAATTTTATGTGTGCATATTTTTCCTTAGTTTTACGATAACAACACTCAACGCTTACATCTGCGCACGCAACATTTTATATTCAAATAATTTGATAACACAATCCTAAAAAATTTCAATAAATTCTTGTGGTACAACTTATGACCACTGATGCTTATAGAATTTTTTCCGTAGAATCAGAATGTGAAAAATCAAATTATTTATTCTATTGACTCTATTTTTTGAGACATATAAGCTGATGTCACATAAAACTTTTGCTTCGCTTTACGTGACAGATTCGCTTTGACAGATAAGATGAATTGTATGAAAATGCACAAAGCATGCCACATAAATCGTTGAAGCGGCAGCGCGAAGCGAAAAGATGGTCAACTCCCATCTTTTTGCGCGCTTTGACAATCAGCCGGTTTAATATTTATTTTGTTTCGTCCAAATTCGGGTTTTCATGCAGAAACATAAAACTTAATTACATTGCTGATAATTTTAAATCAAAATAATTAAAATCCACAGCAACTTTGATGAGTAAAAAAGCGGTACAACATTGTTTTCTTGGCGTTCATTGTGGCATACCTTTTGCGTCTGGCGCTTTGCTGGCAAAGTTATAAATGTCACGCAAAGCTACAAAGTTTTATCTGGCATCAGCTATATGATTCAATTGCCAAAAAAACAATTGATTTTTCTTTCTTGTGAAAAAAACAATTGACTTTTCTAACTAAATGTAAATAAAGATATACATTCAAAAATTAAAACCCGTTTTTATTACAATGTGAACTAAAAAGTCAAAAATAATAATAATAATATAATAATAGATTGGCGCTTACACATATGTTAGTGTTTGACCGAGCTTCTCCTCCGACTTGTAGCGTGCGCCTTGATGTTGTCACAAAACGGAACGGTGATTGTATTTTTATAAGAAGCTGTTTTCCATGGCAGAAATACACTCGGAGGTTTGCCATTGCCTCCCGAGGGACGACCGCTGTTAAGAAAAAACCTTTTTTTTTATATTTTTTGCAATGTTGCTTTGATCAAATGTGTATTTTCTATAAATAATTTTTTGCCTTTTAGTTCACATTGTAATAATAGCGAGTTTTTAGTTTTTAAACTATAATTTTATTTTCATATTTTTAGTATTAAATTCAATTGATTTTAATACTATTGTAATTAGGGCCCGGATTTCTACGCGCTAAAAAACCGAAATTAATCGCCTATAATGTGAACGAAAAAATCCAAAATATACACTAAAACTAAAAAATATGCACTGAAAACAAGAAAAAAGTGCAAAAAGACTTCTCGCATTTGTTTTGCTTTTTAATTTTTTGAATTTACCTTTCATATTTTATTACAAGTTTAAATGTAACACAAGGATATACTGTAAGTTTTAGTGCCACGAAAAACTCAAAATTAATTACATATTTATCTAAAATTTTAAAATATGTATGTATTAAAAAAAATAAGCACTTAAAGTAAAAAGTAAAAAATCATTTACAATAAATTAAAAATACATATTTGATCTCAATATTTTTTTTAATTTTCTTTGTTCAGGGCTTTATTGGCAAACAAAGAAATAGCTCGTTATAATTTTCGAAGTTTTCCCTATTTGGCCGCAAAAATTTTTGGTATAAGGAAAACGTTCTTTCTACGACAACACTGGTGATTGGGGCGTACTTGAAGCAAGCTAGTTCATTGGGATTATACCTATTAAGCAGGGATCACACGATTTGTACATTTGTACGATTTGGCAGTCACATAGTGGTGTTGTTTAGAAATTTGAGCTCG